TCTCTCCCTTAGTGCCTTCCATTTGTGTCCTGCCTTTATTATTTTTACAAATAATTCAAGGCAGCAAACATAACCAACTGTTGGAGAGAGACTGGTTGAGCCAGGGGGAGGAGGTACCATGGAAGACAATGATGTAATTTAACAAGGTCACTACTACAGCATGAACTATCTCCTGGCACTGTCCCGTGGATTATCCCTCATAGGAGATGGTCAAGCCTGCCACCTCTGCATTTTTGCAACCATTTGTGAAAAGGGTGAGGAGCAGTAGGTAACCAAAGAAGGACGAGATCAAGGAGACCTTGGCTGCCCCCAACATGTTCAGCCTGAACTTCTTCATGAGCAAGCTTCCAGAGAACATCCCAAGAGCTACAGCAGGAATGTTGATGAGACCTAGAGTACCCACCATCCACAAGAAGCAAATAAACACAGTTATAAACTTATTTTTAGAAACTACTGGGATTTGACCAAGAAGCGTTTGTTATCTTCTTTTGTCCTATTCTTTAGAACAGGGGTCCCCAACCACCGGTCCGCAGACCGGTACCGGTCCGTGGAACAAATCCTACCGGGCCGCTGGTTTGCTGGGCGCCGCCATCTTGTTTTGATGAAAAAGTGCTTCCGGTGAGCTTTTCCGGGTAGAAAGCTCACCGGAAGCACTTTTTCATCAAAACAAGATGTCGGCGCCCGGCTGATGCCGGTACCGGGCCGCGGCATAAAAAAGGTTGGGGACCACTGCTTTAGAACATTTTATGTATTGCACCCTCTACGTTAATCCTGGTATCTGCCGAGTTAGCATAGACAAAGGTTGCAATGGGCATGATTCTGGGGTGATAGAGCAGGGGTGTCAAACTCAGTTTCATTGAGGGCTGCATCAGGGTTGTGTTTGACCTTAGTGGGGGTGGGGTGTCTGTGGCCAGGGGCGTGGCCGGGGTGGGCGTGGCCAGCTCGACATCACTCGAGTGGCCAAGTGCTAATGCAGGACTTCCTGAGACCCTCCCTCACTCTCCTTATAATCTCTTTCCTTCCTTGCTTGCTTGCTTGCTTGCTTGCTTCCTCCCTCCCTCCCATTTCTTCTTTTTCCTTTCCTCTCATTCTCCTTTCTTCTTCCTTCCCCGCTTTCCTTATTTGTCCTTCCTTGCTCTCTTCCCATCTTCCCATCTTTTTCTTTATCTTTCCTCTTTCCCCTTCTCCTTTCCTGACCCTTCTTGCATGCTCAAAGGCAAAGGGGGAAACATTTCTCCTTTTGTTTTGTTTTTAATTTGTTTTGCGAGCCCTCTGCTAGCGAAAACAGAGCTCGGTGGGGCACGCATGGACCTCCTGAGCTCATTTTTTTATGGCAGAGGTGCTGCAGGCTGGTCCTTTGCTGTTTCCACGGTGGCCCCAAAGGCCAAATCTAAGTGCCCCATAGGCTGGATCCAGTTTGCAGGCCTTCAGTTTGACAACCCTGTCATAGACAGTTTCATCTGTCAGCTTCTTTAGGGGGAATAGACATACCAAGGAGTCTAGATTCTTTTTTTCCTTCTCTAAAATAGATACACTAAGTATGAAAGCACCAATTTTAGTTCTTTGTGAGCAAAAAGCAAATAATCACATCACCAAACTCTGGCTGTTTGCAACTAGATTTTGACAGTATAGTTCTGGGAACTTTTTGGGGGTGCAAAAAAGTTTTGAGGGGGGAATCTCAGTGTAGCCCAAAGGCTGCAAATCAATCTTCCCTATATTACACGATCATTTTTAACATAGCATAATATTATCTGGACCTGTTTTAATTACTTGTGTTATAAAGCGGTAAGTCAACAACAATCAATATTTTGCATATTCTTTATAAACTCTATTCATTCTGTTTTCACAATCCCAAAGCATTTCACACATACCTGAAGGCTTAGCCACAAGAAAAGCTTAAAATACAATGGAAAGCACTGTGTTATGGATAAGAAGAAGCTTTTATAAATGCCTCTACTTCTCTTGAAACAGCATTTTCAAATTACGCTACAATTTAACAGGTGGAAGTCCAAGAAATGTCGTTTCCCAATTTCAAGGAATTCACACAATTCTTGAGTCATTTACAATAATAATAATAATAATAATAATAATAATAATAATAATAATAATAATAACAACAACAACAACAACAACAACTTTAATTGCAAACAAAGCAGATTAACTTCTCTTAATCCTCTATGAAAAATTAAGTATCTTATTTGACCAGATATTTGGCCCTAATATGGCAAAAAGCAATGTTATCCAAACCTGGCAGTTTTCAGAGGTATGGACTTTGCCTTCCAGAACAGTTAGGGAGTAGAATTCTACCATTCTGGATGTTGTAAATGGTGGAAAACTTCACATAGTTGATTTTAAGGGATCCCTTCAGGAAAGGGTGCTTTCACGAACCACTAGGATGGAGAAGATCTCCAAGTTCTTTCTGATTAATGCTAACTTTCCCTGAATTTTCCTGTGTCTACAATTAGTTGCAAATAGCATTGATGTGTTTTCAAGTTAGCCAGCTACAAAAATAAGTGCGGTCCATTGGATGTGCCAGACAAAAACAGTCTGAAAAGGAAGATAGAGCCACAGTATGTTAAACTTTATGTATCTGTATCACAGCTGTGCAATCATTTTTTTTTCAATCAAAAGGCTGTTTTTATCCTTTGAGAGGCATAGCAAGCCAAGGGACACATACATGCAGCCAAGGTAAAGACTAAATTTGATTTGATGTATAAGTGATTTAAAATTACATTAATTAAAAAAAACATGATTACTTCTTCAAGGAATGATTTCCCCCTCTGGTTCCCCCTATCAATATTATCATCAAGCCTTGGATTATGGATGTTTTTCTACATGTATTGAACTTCAAACAAAGTAGCATCTGCTTCAATCCCAGCCTCAAGAACCTCAACCATACCTATGATAAAATTGGTCTTGGAAGATGATTGTCCAAACTGTTGTTCAATATATTTTGGCTTATAGGTCACCATGCCAATGTGAGAATTGAATTGGATGATGCTAGAGCAGAGATATAAGCAGTAAACTGGATTTCCAAGGAGGCTTTTCAAGGAAGACAGGAACTCTGGAAAAAATAATGGATACTTGTTGGTTGGAAAGAAGTGAGAAATGAACACGGATGACAACTAGTTTCAAAATTGGTTGATCTGGTAACAACTGTTCATGGAAAATTGGAAGGAGCCTTAGTCATACTCAGATCCTTTCCCCACGACAAATATTTGTAATACATTGCTTTCTCTTTTTGTCATTTAGGAGGCCTTTGACTTTTGCTGCAAACTTTTTGTCTCCATCAAAGTGCCCACAGCCCTTGCAATGGTCAGTGTGTGGGTCACTGCAACCCACATAAAACTCATGTTGAATCCATTCAGGATCCCATTGCCAATGGGTCAATTGGGTTATATTCATTTTCTTAGTTAGATGTAATTCATCTGTTGCCCTCCAGATATTTTGGACTTCAAAACCTATTGGCTTTAGATTGAATGGTCAATTTAGCGAGGAGTTATGAGAACTACATTGAAAAGCTTCTGAAGGACATCATGTTGTCCACACTGGCTCTCTTGTTCAGAGCAAGGCAGTACTTTGTGCTGAGATTATATATTTATTTATTTTTATTTATTTATTTGTATCCCACCTTTATTACTTTCACAAGTAACACAAGGTGGTGAACATATCCAACATACCTTCCTCCTTCTATTTACCCCAACAATAACTGTGTGAGATGGGTTGGACTGAGAGAATGACTCGCCCAAAGTCACTCAACTGGCTTTCATGGCTTTGGAAGGGACTAGAACTCACAGTCTCTCCTGGTGACTGGTCCAAAGTCACTCAACTGGCTTTCATATCTAA